TTACATATTGAACATTTCCATTTACTATTCTGTTTTGTACATTTACATTTAATCTTCTATATTAAGACTAGTAATGCTAAGTTAAATCCTGGTTGTATATATTCTCATTCTTAGTTTTGATATTTTTACTACTTATTTACTTTGTATTTAATATTATATTCTGTTTTAGATTTGCTAACATTGTGTTTTTTACTCATATTGTGTGTTAGATAACCTGCTGCTGTAATGCCACAATTTCACAGTTTGGGATCAATAAAGTCATTCTATTCTATTCTTAACTTTCATACAACACTTTTAAATAAAAGGCTCTGACATGTTAAAAAAACTTCACACACACTTCATTTTCTCCATAAACCCCTACTTTGTTACTCTCCAAACACCAGGGAACTTTGCCCCCCCCCAGTGGTTCCCAATGCTGCTGATTAAAGAACCCTCAACCTAATTTGTGAAATGTCCACATCAATTCTTTCTTGCTGTTATCACATCATGTATACAGTGTCTCTAGTTTAATTAATGAAGTCATTAGAATGGTTATGAGTAAGCTAGTTACAGTATGGTTATAAGAAAGGCACTTACAGTAAGCAACCCAACACTCTCAACTAACTTTCATCAACATTCTTCAAAAAAGTGTCTGAAAAAAAACTTCAGCCACACTTATTTCTTTTTTCATAACCCCCTACTGATGTTACTCAGGAAACACCAGGGGGAACTTTGCCCCCCTAGCGGTTCCAGGCCCCGATGCCGTGGAGCCGGAATTGAACCAGCACGTACCCGTTGCAGAAGCAAGGACGATCCCACTCGGCCACCGGCCCCTTCACACTTGGAGATGTGTTCCGGGCGTATTTATCATCGTCATTTTGGATTTTGACTTTAAAATTTGCCTGATAAGATTCAAACCCTCCATCACCAGACACAGTGGGATTCAAACCCAGGCTCCCACCTACAGAGCTTAGAAACCACAATCTTATCCACTACACTACTGATCCCTTCACACTATGACATGAGCTCGGGCGTATTTATCTTCATCATTTCAGATGTTGGACTTTAAAATCACTAGTCCTGATAAGATTTGAACCCACAACCTCCAGAGTCCAAGTCCTCCTTCTATCTCCTGAGCCACACAGACAGATACTTGATATGTTTCTCAGATCTCTTCAGTCTTTCCTTTGGACCAACACCTTTAAGAGAATGGTGTGTGTGTGTGTGTGTGTGTGTGTGTGTGTGTGTGTGTGTGTGTGTGGTGTGTGTGTGTGTGTGTGTGGTCTTTTAGGACCGACACCTTTAAAATTCACTGAGTCCTGATAAGATTGAACCACAACCTCCAGACTCCAAGTCCTCCTTCTATCTCCTGAGCCACAGAGACAGATGCAGACTTTGTTTCTCCTGCTGGATCTGTGTGTTGTTTTGTTCAAGTCTAAGATTTTTTTTAAAATATTGTTAAATAAATGATTTATTGGGGGTGACGTCCTGCATTTGTTTGGCTTCCTGACTTGGCAGAAAGTAGGCGGAGTCAGGAAGGCCATTAGTCCAACTGGGTACACCTGAGTCCATCAGGACTCTGCTTCTAAGTGGCTTCCAGTCTAACTTGTCTCCCCTCTCTTTCTCCCAGGCCTCCACCAACTGCTTTACTTTTGTTCACACTTTCCAACACTACACTCATCCATACATTGTATTCATGACTGATTTACATAATTATCATTATTTGATAATAAATTCACTTCCTTTTAAACCTTGTTTCATGTGTGATACCCTTCCTTTGTCACGTCCTGTAACAACTCTAAAATGAAGGATGTTATGATGTTACAATTCTCTTAGGAGAATATACATATATTTAAATGATCATATACAAACACTTTTTAATGTAAAAACTACCTCATGTTTACAGTATTATCCTATTTATCCTTGTACATATTTGTTTATTGTTGATATTTAATATTATACCTTTGTACAAAGACAGCACAGTTTACAAAAGTAAACTTGTGTTTAAGCATACCTGGACAATAAAGCTGATTCTGAAGGATTTCTGTGGCTTTGATAACTGTTGGAAATAAACTCCTCAAAAAGTTTGGAAACATTATTTTTTCAATTATTTGGCCCCTTTAATAAAACTAATTGGTGTTGTATTTTATATCGTTGGAAAGCCTGATGAGTCACCTTTACAACGAGGTATAACTTGTAAGGATCGAGCAACGCAGCTAAACGTTTGAGTAGCGCTCTAAAAAAATGTTCCAAAATGGACACAGCAGTAGTTTTATTACAATAAAATATTGAACAGACATCATGACCTCTGTGTTTTGTACATGTTACATCAGCACAATACAATAAGGTGTCACAGGTGAGGGGGTTACATCCAGCCAGTCCCCCCCCCCCACTATCCTCCAGCTTCATTGGGTAGGAGCTCAAAAGCTTTCTTAATGTTGTTTTATGTTCCAGGTTGATGTTCCTCCACTCTAAATCGACTTCTTCGTAGCTGATTCAAATAACTGAGTCTAAACATCTATAAGACCTAAAACCTGGAACATAATAAAACAACATTAAGAAAGCTTTGAGTCTCCTACCTGAGCAGGAAGACGGCCACCGACGGGGGATCCTCCTGGAAGACATCAACAGAGTTCCTGTTGGAGAAGAAAAACTAATTTTAGTTCATCAAGTTAATAAAACTCAGAAAATGTTTGTGATTATACAACATTGTGATGATTGGAATAAACCTGGGTTTTATCATTCATTGTAAATGATCTGTGTTTAACTTCACTTTAAGGGTTTTGGATGAAGCAAACTTAAATTCAAAGTTTAAACGTAGAATATAATATAGTACAGACAATACAAAGTGTGTTTGTGTCCTCACCTTGATGTCCTCGTCTCCATCATGTCTCCTTGTCATTGGCCTGAATGTTTGTGTGGGCGTCGGCCTGCGTGCTCTCCAGCTGTTTGCTGCGGTTCACCAGAGACTTGACCTCAGACTTGAACTTGCTGATGTGAACTCCTCCTCCACCGCTGAGCCGTTCCCCTTTGACTCTGAGGACTGAGGATGAGGGGGAGGTTACAGATGTTGAGACTGTGAAAGATGTGTGTGTGTGTGTGTGTGTGTGTGTGTGTGTGTGTGTCCGTTCTCACAGCTGTGTTGACATCACTGGTGCCGATGATGGCGCCGATGTCACTGAGGTCTCGTAGCAGCAGGTTGAGGACCTCGGTAGCTCTCTTTCTCTGCAGACCGTTCAGCTCAGAGACACACACACACACACACACACACACACACACACACACACACACACACACACTGACTGTGTTGGTTGATCTCATCATCCTGTGAATTATTACAAGAAAAGGACAAAAAGTAATAATAATAAAAAGAATTGAAAAAATTAAAGTATTTGTATTTAATTTGAATCTTTAAGCAGGTTGTCTCCAAACTGTGCTTCTAATGTTGTGTCTTGTCTTTGACTTTAGTCTATTCTTGTCATACAGCTGTTTGTACAAATAAGCAGATTTAATCAAATTGATCATTTCAATTAAATCAAGAAAAAGGTTTGTGGTATTTTCATTAAGAAAAACTAAAAACTAATTTAATTAACTAAAAGGTAAAAATGCAGCTTTAATATAAATCATTTACCATACAATGATGTAATCTTAAATATCCAATTACTTTATTGACTTACAAAATGAACTGTCACAAGAACAACCAAAACCAAACGACAATAAACGAATTAAATTGATTAAAAAGTAAGTTTGAAAAGTAAAAATAAACCTAAGAAGAAAAGGTTTAAGGTAAAAATGCAGCTTTAACATAAATAATTTATCAAACAATGATGTAAGACTCTAATTAAAAGTTATAGGTTGAAAATAAATGCATTATATCGTCTATAAATCACTTTATATGGAGAGGGCGCCCTCTGGTGGTTAGTTGTTGGTTACTGCACTTCAATAATAAATGAATTAGACTGCTGTTTCTTTGAGTAAATTAAACACAGAAGGCTGGATGAAGAGCTTTTACTTTTAAATTAAATAAATGAAGTCTATTCATATTACTTGAGTAAGATGAACATTTAATCTCTGAGCTCTGTGAGCAGTAATGTTTAGAAAATCATTTTACCTCTGAGCTGCAGCACAGAGCGAGGAAACACCTGCACACACCTGTACAAAGAAACAAGAAGAAAACCCTGCATTCTGAGTTCAACCAATGCTTCTTTTCGCAGCATTTTCATCCAAACTCGGACACCCGTCATCCGCTCGAGTGGTCCAGGGTCGATATTAAACTTTGGCGCACCTGAGGAGCACACCTGAGCGTGATGCGCAGCAGCGGAAGTGACGTCGGCTTGTCACTCTCAGGTAAAGCTCGTATCGACGTAGAGAACTCATTGTGAATTAGGAGACACAATAACAATAACAAAATTAAGTAAAACACCGAAAATAAATAAAATATTCAGTTTTAGATTCACAATCTACAAATGTGGACAGATACTGTTGTTGAAATGATTTGTCTACTAGTGAAATTATCCAAACACTCCTGCTATTATACCAAAGGAAACACTAATATTTTACTGACATGTTCAATCTTGTGGTAGTTATAGGTGTAGTCACTTTAATTTCCAACAATTTTACAAATTATTAAGTCTTTTCATTTAGTTTGTTTTAACCTATTCTTAGATAAGTATAAAAGATGGTTGAAAATAATTAAAATAATCTGAATTCAAACAATGTTGGTAGGTAACTGCACTATTTATATTTTTCCACACTTTTATGTGGTGGAAAAAAAGGTTAAAAAGAGGATAAATTTCTGTTATAGTGACTGTTGGATGTAATTGCAACCCAGTGCCAGCAGAGGGCAGCAGTGTAATATGAATGCATGATGCAGCGGTTAATTAGGCCTGACCTTTTAACCTCCAGGTGAGTTATATTGTAATATTTACAGTCTATGGTTGTAAAGAGCAGAAGTTACATTACAGCCAGCCCGATTGAAGATGGAATATCTGCCTCTTATTTAGCCTACCAATCAACATTAAGGCTTGTGTTGATGTGAGATATCGGCGCCCTCTGGTGGTCAGAAGGGCTTACGGCAGCGCTCTATAACACTGTTTATACTAATACACACATTTTTTAAATAAATAATCAAAATACACTGAGTTTACTGCACACTTCAAGTTTACTTTTTCTTTAAATTTTATTTTATTTTCCATGTTTTGTAGTTTTTTGCACTATTTAGAATTTATTACTGTAAATATTATTTATCTATCTATTATTTTATTCTATCTATTTTACCTTATTTTGGTTGTATTGCACCGTGGGACAGAGACAAACGCAATTTCGATTCCACACATTTTGAAATTGACAATAAAGTTGACTTTGTTTCATTTCAGACCTTTATTTCAGCCTCATTGAGGTTTCCTTTGTTTACAACGACATCTAGTTACAAAGAAGAGCAGAAATAAAACACCAGAGACGGGTCAGGATGATCCTCAGTAAAAACACCAGGCACCATTATAGAAATAATAATAATACTTTCAGGGATTTATTTCACATTATTTGAACAACAATGTTCATCAGGGAAATTTGAACAAACTGAATACAGAGAAATAATCAGTGCCCTCCACTGGCACTAAAGAGTTCAGTTTTTTCTACAAACACAAGAATCTTCAGTCTGATGAGGTTTTTAAACTCATATGTCTGTCTCCTTTATTGATACGTGTTTGTGTCCTCAGAGGAGCTGCAGACACGACCTACACGAAGACGAGAAGAAGAACAAGACGGACATATCAATAAAAAAGTTTGTTTTGCCTTTAATTAGCTTTCATAACTCTGAAATAACATTACGATTTTTTTTTCTGACTAAATAATATCAGATAAAACAGATAGTATGAAAAGTGCTGCAGTTACTCCCTCTGACCACAGGAGGGCAGTAAACATTAGGGTTATTTCCGTGGTGACTAGTACTGAGAGGTTTAATAATCCGAATATAATGCGGGGAAAAAATGTCATTGTAAGAATTATTTTCAGTGTTGTAGTTACTGACAGTGACCACAGGGGGGCAGTGATGATCACAGCTCTCTCTATCTGTTTGTATTAGTGTTGTTAATGATCATAAAATGAATAAAGTCTCATGATATTTAAGTTTTTGTTTCCATAAAAAGACATCATGCAGTTAGACAATTAGACCAGTAGGTGTCAGTAACACAGCATCTGAACACATTTCAAAATAAAACATTTTCTCTGTAATTACAACAAATCCTGTTCAAAGAAATGTAATGTTCTGCGACAGCTACAGCTTATGTGACATGAATTGTGCCAATTCACAACACGACATGTTCCAATTTAAAAAAAAACAACATACTAACCCAGGGGTGGGCAACTTGTGGCCTGGGGGCCAAATGCGACCCCCATCAACCCTAAACGTGGCCCTCAGGTACATTTTTACATATCTATTTATTGGAAACATGAAGAAAACAAAATCTAACCCAAATAAAACACAGAAAATGTTTGTGATAATACAACATCATGATGATTGGAATAAACCTGGGTTTTATCATTCACTGTAAATTATCTGTGTTTAACTTCACTTTAAGGGTTTTGGATGAGATTTAAATTCAAAGTTTAAATGTAGAATATAATATAGAAACATTGAGTATAAGGTCTTAAGAAACATCTAAACAGATTTATCTTATATTATAAGTCTTACAATAATTCTACAAGTTTGTTTACCTTTAACTTGTGCAAGCTTTTGGGGGAAAGAAAATGCTGTATACATAAATATGATATATATTCAGAGTTGTAATTAATCTGTGATATTATCAATGAACTGAATATAATCGAGAACATAAGGTAGGTGAAGAAGAGTTATGAGCATATGAAAGTTAATAAAATCAAGGCAAGGAAAATTTTAACTTGTAAATGTTTCCTTTTAATTTATGTTTAATCTAATATTAGCTCAATGAGCTGTAAGATGTACTCACATCAAATATTTTAATCATAATCAAAAAAGCAGTTTTAATCAAATTGATCATTTCAATTAAATCAATAAAAAGGTTTGTGGTATTTTCATTAAGAAAACCAAACGACAATAAATTCATCAAATTGATTAAAAAGTAAATTTGAAAAGTAAAATTAAACCTAAGAAGAAAAGGTTTAAGGTAAAAATGCAGCTTTGATATAAATAATTTACCAAACAATGATGTAAGACTCTAATTAAAAGGTATAGGTTGAAAATAAATGCATTATATCGTTTATAAATCACTTTATATGGAGAGGGCGCCCTCTGGTGGTTAGTTGTTGGTTACTGCACTTCAATAATAAATGAATCAGACTGCTGTTTCTTTGAGTAAATTAAACACAGAAGGCTGGATTAAGACCTTTTACTTTTAGATTAAATAAATGAAGTCTATTCGTATTACTTGAGCAAGATGAACATTTAATCTCTGAGCTCTGTGAACAGTAATGTTTAGAAAATCATTTTACCTCTGAGCTGCAGCACAGAGCGAGGAAACACCTGCACACACCTGTACAAACAAACACAAGAAGAAAATACAGAATTTTGCTATACAGAAGTAACTGCACTATTTATATTTTTCCACACATTTATGTGTTGGAAAAAAAGGTTAAAAAGAGGATACATTTCTGTTATAGTGACTGTTGGATGTAAATACAACCCATCGCCAGCAGAGGGCAGCAGTGTAATATGAATGCATGATGCAGCGGTTAATTAGACCTGACGAGGCTGTTAACCTCCAGGTGAGCTATATTGAAATATTCACAGTCCGTGGTTGTAAAGTGTAGAAGTTACATTACAGCCACAAAGAGTTAAAACCTTCAATATCACGTAGATCATTTGAAGAACAACAAAGCATTTAATTATTATGAAATATATACTTTAAAACACGCAGTGCTACTAAGCTGTGGAACGGAAGTGGGGAAAGATTGGATGTTAAATGAAACAGCAGAGTTTGGCTGCCGTCTAGTGGACATGATTAGTAACTACAGTCAAACTATGGAGTTTATGAGTTTGTTTAATTAAAGATAAAGATAAAAATAAACTTCATTGATCCCCTGTGGGGGAAATTTTGCATTACAGCAGCTCCAGAAAACAGGGGACGAGGAATATACTTATAAAAAAAAAAATAGAAGTTAAAAAACAGATCAAATAAATTTACATCATTTAAATAAAAATAAAAAATACAATAATGTAAAAAAATACAATAATGTAAATGTAAAATTACACAGTAACTTGTTATTAACTAAAAACACACACAGTGTGTAGCATGAGGTGGTGATGTTGTTAAAGAGTCTGATTAAACAGTCTGACGGCAGATGGGATGAACGACTTGCGGTAGTGCTCTGTCTTGCAGGGTGGGTGTCTGAGTCTGCTGCTGAAGGAGCTGCTCAGGGCCCCCACAGTGTCATGTAGAGGGTGAGAGGGGTTGTCCATGATGGATGTCAGCTTCACTAACATCCTCCTCTCACCCACCTCCTCTACAGAGTCCAGAGGACAGTCCAAGACAGAACTGGCCCTCCTCACCAGTCTGTTCAGTCTCTTCCTGTCTCTCTCTGTGCTCCCTCCTCCCCAGCAGACCACTGCATAGAAAAGTGCAGACGCCCACCACAGTGTCATAAAAAGTTCTTAACAGAGTCCTGCACACTCCAAAGGACCTCAGTCGCCTCAGCAGGTGAAGTCAACTTTGGCCCTTCTTGTACAGGATGTGTGTGTTGTGTGACCAGTCCAGTTTGTTGTTGAGGTGAACACCCAGGTATTTGTACGTCTCCACCCTCTCGATGTCCAAGCCCTGGATGTTCACCGGTGCAGTCTGGGGTGACTTCCTGTGGAAGTCAATCACCATCTCCTTTGTCTTGCTGGCGTTGAGCTGAAGGTGGTTGAGCTCACTCCAGTTGACAAAGTCCATGATGACCTGCCTGTACTCCTGTTCGCTCCCCTTAGACACACCCCACGATGGCTGTGTCATCGGAGAACTTCTGCAAGTGGCAGCTCCCAGAGTTGTAGCAGAAGTCCGAGGTGTACAGGTTATTACACGTGTAAGATGTGTATGATTATTTCCTGATGTTTGTTGCTGTTTTTGTTGTTGTAGGCCATGTCCCTGCCTGTTGTTGTCATCTCTAACGTCTGTCAGCTGCCCAGCGGCTGGGCCTCCATCCTCTGGTACAACATGCTGACCTCCGAGCCCAGGGTACACAACCAGGACTCTCATTGATGATTACAGATGTTTACTTATCACAAATATCAAAGATACAATTAGGTGATATCTTAATGATTTAAACAAGTTTCACAGCTGCCACCTTAAATTCATAAACAGACCATTAATACAATCTAAATGTTGACGCGTGTATAGCTGTTTTACGGTTTGCATTTTCAGTATATTTTGATGCCTGTGCTTTTTATATGAAGTAAAGTTTTGAATAAAGGTCTTCTATTCGTAACAGAGTATCTTTAACTGTACTTTTAAACCAGATGGTTTGACTTTTTGTGTTTCCATCTCTTCTTCTTTCCTCTCCTCTCAGAATCTGAAGTTCTTCCTCAGCCCTCCGCAGGCCAAGTGGTCTCAGCTGTCCGAGGTCCTCAGCTGGCAGTTCTCCTCCGTCACCAAGCGAGGCCTGAACCAGGAGCAGCTCAACATGCTGGCTGACAAACTGCTCGGTAGAAATACTTTTCTTTAACAGATAAACACCTGCAGGACTTTCAAACAGGCCTTTAACTTTTATTTATTTTTATCTTCAGGAGCCAAAGCCAAGAGGAACCCAGAGGGACAAATCCCCTGGACCAAGTTGTGCAAGGTGAGCCCCATTCAGCCTGAGATTTAAGATCGTCAACATCTGTGATACTTTTCGATACCACAAGTTAAAAATGAATAAAATCTGTATTCAAATCTGTAATTTAACCAAAAGCTGCAATAAGAGAAACATGTACAGGTTAGCAGATACTAATGGAGTCTTTTTGGTGCATCATAAAGTTAAAACTACATCTTCTCTTTGAACTAAATGTATTTGTCTGTGAGCAGAGTGCGAACGAGAAAGCGTATTCCTTCTGGTTGTGGATCGAAGGAATCCTGGATGTGATTAAAAGACACCTGCTTTCCCTTTGGAATGACGGGTGAGTGCTGCCGTCTTTCTTCAGTGTCAAGACACTTTTCTGAGATGTCAGGAGTTTTTAAGGAGTTTTCTGCAAGTGTGAAACCCCTTTAGTCTGTCTTTTAAAGGGGTCTGTCTAAGACAGACTAAGACAAAATAACCTGTCCTCTGATTGTAAGCAACACTCTCTTTTCTTTTTTTTCTTCTGAAGAAAGCAAATCAATTATTTTCTTCTTTCTGAGTGAAGACTTGGAGTGAGACCAAAACTGTCAACTGAGAAGTTTCTTCATTTCATCCAAGTCTTCTTTCTGTACTCTCTTTCAGTGTCTTTGTTTCATCAGTGGTTGAACTCTGATGATCATTTTATCTGCTCTTAGAGGTGTGGTAAAGACCCTCACTACTTTTAAGTTAGATACAGGTCAGTGCAGTAACCAGTCACCTTCTAGACACATTTCAGTGATTACATTCACTCTACTTGGAAGTCAAAGAATTTAGATTTTTGCACGATAATTACGAGGCAGAAAAGGCTTAAAAAGACGTGGATTCAAAGCAAAAACCCTTATCTGCCAGCTGTGTTTTATTTAGTTATAGTAGTTTACAGCTTTCATTGTCTGTTTTCTTTGATTTTGAGGAAACTTGTTTATTGTAGTCTTTATTTATCTACCACTAATAAGAAAATAAGAAAAATATATTGCCTAATATGTCATGGGAACACAATCTGCTTTCTTCCTCAGGAGTGAAACGCTCCAACGTACACAAGAATATGCAATCAGTGAAGTTGCACTTCAGATTCTTTGAGAGACTAACATGCACGTGTGATTAACAGACAATGGATTTTAATTAACATAAGCAGTAAACAGTTGCTTTTTATAATTAAGAAAATATGTTATCTGTGATTCAGTCAAGTCACATTTATTTATAAAGAAATAAAACAAAGAAAGCAGTTTGAATTTGTATCTAGAACAAGAAAGGTGAAAAAAACAAATGCAGTAATTCACAGAGTGACCACAGGAGGGCGCAGTTTCACCTTTAAACTCCATCTTTACACATTAGTATCTCAAACTAACTAATTTATCTGCTTCTTGGACACTTTGGAGAACGACAGGGAGAGGAAGAGAGAAACTGGAGGTAAACATCATGCACTGAATTTATCTGTGGTAAGAATTCAGTCAGTGTCCTAAAGACCGGAAAACAGGTTAGCTTCGTCCTGCTAACGAATGCAGTTACCGGTAGTTACCATGGTGACCCGAGTTTGACTTTCTCATGTTGCTTGGTTACCAAGAGTTCAAAGTTAAAAAAAACAGAAAAACAAGTAAATTACATTAAGAAATATTTTTATCATTAAAACATTTGATTTTTGACTTAGTCTTGTTTTTGTGTCCTCTTATTTATAACTTTTTCATTTCTCCGATAGAAACTTTCTGCGACACTTCCGGTTGAAGCTTCCGGTAATCACGCCCAGGTGTGTTCAGGTGTTCTCAGGTGTGTATATCATTGTTTCGAGCAGGTAAGCGGTGCGGACCGCGGGCAGCATGTTGGAAGAAGAAGGAGCCGGGGAAGGAAACATGAAGTCTAGATACTCAGTGAGTAATTAAAAGTCCAGTTTTGTGTGAAAAGCCACGAAATAGAAATACCTGGGGCTGCTAACACCTGGGCTAATGCTCATGCTGACGTCATTACAAATGTTTGTTAAGCGGATAAAACGTCAGAGTAAGATGATGATAACGTTTATCAATATTATGAAGGTAACGCGACGTTTTCTTTGTCTTTTCAACTTGTTTTCTCCAATTAAACTTATAAAAACAGTTATCAATTAAAATGATAAAAAACAATTACAAGTTAAGGAGGTCGTCTCAAGTGCTCTCAGCCTGGATTTAAAAGCATTCAAAGAAATCACCTCAGTTATTTTCCAACTAATTGTTTAACTTCACAACACCGGGTTAAAGTAAAGCCAAAGTTAATAAACTAATATGTAAATTAATTAATCAGAGGTAAAATGATTTTCTAAACATTACTGTTCACAGAGCTCAGAAATTAAATGTTCAGCTTGCCCAAGTAATATGAATAACTTCATTTATTTAATTTAAAAAGTAAAAGCTTTCTGTGTTTAATTCAAACTCAAAGAAACAGCAGTCTGATTCATTTATTATTTAAGTGCAGTAACCACCAGAGGGCGCCCTCTCCATATAAAGTGATTTATAAACTATAAAATGCATTTATTTTCAACCTATAACTTTAATTAGAGTTTGTGTTCTTGTGACAGTTAATGTATGGTAAAGATGTTTCTTAAGACCTTATACTCAATGTTTCTTTATTATATTCTACATTTAAAGTTTGCTTCATCCAAAACCTTAAAGTGAAGTTAAACACAGATCATTTACAGTGAATGATAAAACCCAGGTTTATTCCAATCATCACAATGTTGTATAATCACAAACATTTTCTGAGTTTTATTAACTTGATGAACTAAAATTAGTTTTTCTTCTCCAACAGGAACTCTGTTGACGTCTTCCAGGAGGATCCCCCGTCGGTGGCCGTCTTCCTGCTCAGGTAGGAGACTCAAAGCTTTCTTAATGTTGTTTTATTATGTTCCAGGTTTTAGGTCTTATAGATGTTTAGACTCAGTTATTTTAATCATTTGACTTGATCCTTTTTATATTGGAGGAACATCAGGTGTTTAATGAAATACTACATTTTTATAATCCTTATTTCATTAAACACCTGATGTTCCTCCAAAAAGGATCAAATGATTAAAATAATTGAGTCTAAACTTTTATACGACCTAAACCTGGAACATAATTAAACATTAAGAACCCTTTGAGTCTCCTATCCAATGGGGATGCTGTGACACCTTCTTGTGCTGATGTAACATGTAGAAAAACACAGGTCATGTCTGTTCAATATTGTAATAAAACTACTGCTGTATCCATTCTGCATCAGTGACTTGTGTTACATCTGTGCTCTTCATCTGCCAGCTGTGTTTTATTTATAGTAGTTTACCACTTTCATTATTCCTGAGGAAACTTGTTTCTAGTAGTCTTTAATTATGTACAAATAAACATGTTTCCTAATGGAAAATTTTTTTATACAAGATAACAAATCTAACACTTCAAGTTCACAACTGTGTGACAAAGGAAACTACTACAAAACATCTATTAGGAATTGAAGATGCTGACAAGACAAAAAAACACAAGGTCCAACAGGAACAGGTAAACTTTAATCCGAAGAAACTCCTTCGGAGTTCAGAGCGAGGAAACACCTGGAATATCAGACACAAGAAACAAAGACATCAGGGTTTAAAGTTCATGTCAGGTTGCATCTATGAGTAATTTACAGCTAGGATTGTACAAAACATGAAAACTGAAATGGGCCATTCTGATAATTAAGTGATTAAAAATTATTAATGCAAGTCAAAATAATCTCTACATCAAAGAGAGTGTTAGGATTAAAATTTAAAAGTTTGTAGCATCATGTCAATTTTGAATATGATATATAAAGAATATGACTATATGTGACTCAAACAGTTAAAATAAAAGAGCCAAGAAAAATACTCACCAAATGTTGAAGGAAGTGAGGCAGCGTGGTGTAGCAGACATGCTAACAGCACTTCATCTTGTTTTGGTCAGGCTGCCCCTAAAAGTGTTAAAAAAAGAAACACATCACAATTAGTTTAAACTTCAAAATGTTTGTTTTTGGAGACAAGTGAATAAAAAAGAACTGATTTATGAAAGTTAACATTCAGTTTGTATAATGTCACATTGGGCCTGTTTTTTTTGGAAAGTAACTACTGCTGTGTCCATTCTGCGTCACATTGACTTCAGTACCTGGGGGGAGAGAGAGAACATCTGTGATCAGGTTCAGCTGCACTGCATTAGTCCTTAATGTCGTTGGTTATCTGCCAGCTGTGTTTTAATTAGTTATAGTAGTTTACATGTTTATTGTTAGCCGATAAATCTGTCGCCCAAAAGGAGAAGTCAATCAAATC